ATTCCCACGGCTGCTGCTGCTGGAGGACTGGGGTGGGCCGGAGCCATGGTAGGATGGCGCTGGGATGGGCTGGGGCCACGGTGAAGGGGCCTGCCCCGGCTGCAGGATGCAAGAGGAAACATGTCCTGCCTGGATGGAGGCTGCACGATGCCTCCGACTGTGTTTCGGTGTGCTCGTCCCCGTGGGCTGGGGCTGGGGAGGGCCCTGGGAGGACGGAGCGCAGCCCGCCGCATTCCCAGCGCCGCTGTTATTTTAACAATACCCCGCTGGCCTGCATGCCGGGGCTAATTTTAACCCTGGAGCCACGCCAAGCTGGCCCTAACTTTCCTCGCTGTGATTTATCCCAGCCATTTCCCTTCGAAAACAAGGCCCCCGTGCCAGCCCTGCTGTCTCCCCAGGCAGCGGCACACTGCCCTGGGGCCTGTCTCTCTGGGCTGGGCAAAGCGGGGCTGGATTTGCCCCTTGGCGGGTTGTTTGGAGATCAGGAGGGTGGCTGGTGTGAAGCCCCCCTGCCCGGTGCTCAGCCCCCCACCACCCATGGCTCAGGGGTTTTCGGAAGCTGGCTGGAAGCCGGGGGATGCTTGGATGCAGAGCCTTGCCCGGGATCCTGGAGCGACTCTGTTTTCCACAGACATCTCTGGGAAGGAGGTGGGTGGGTTTTCTACTGACAATTTTATTGAAAAGGCTGTGGGGCGCTTTTTTTTTCCCTTTTTTTTTTTTTCTCTCCCTTTTCCCAGTCAACAGCCATGCTTGAAAAAGAGATTTCCCTTCGCCTTTGTGCAACTACTTAAAAACTGATTGGTAAAAATGCTGCAGAAACATTTGCAAAAAATGGAAAATATTGAAAATATCTCGTGACAAAAAAAATCATTCTCTTCCAAATAAAGATCTTTTTTCTTCTCTTTTTTTCCATCAGAAAAGCTTCTAGTGTGCAAAATGTCGACCGCTTTGATTTCTTCTCGCAGCGGGCTGGGATGCACCCACCTCTCTGCTCCAGGAGGATGGGTTTTCAGAAAGCTAAAAATCACTGGGCAGAGATACCAGCACCGTTACCTCCACGTCCATCTCTCTTGTGACCCCCCCGTGCCCCCGCCAGACCCGCAGCAGGGCGGGAGGTCCCCAGGGAGAGGTGGCACGACCAGCCCGTGGGTGAGCCCTTCCCCGCAGGACTGCAGCCTGCCCGCCCAGGAAGGGGGAAGAAAGCCCAAAGGTATTTGGTCACTAGCGTCATGAGTTCCCGTTCATTCTCAGCCCATCACAAACAGGAGGTCTGCAAGGCTGTGGATAGAGAAGTGCGTGATTTCGGCGGGGCAGCAAGCGGAGGCGTTAGAGGTTGTCGTACATGCGTAATGTCTTCTCCAGCTGCTGGCTGACACGCTGGTAGAAGACGATCTGCTCCTTTAAGTAAGACTGCATCATCCTCTTGAAGTCAGCCACGCGCCGCTCGTGGAAGTGGTTCATCTCGGCTTGCAGGGCGAAGCCCACCACGCGGCAGCGCTTGCGGATCCCATCTGCCTCCTCCTGGTCCATCCTGCCCTCGTCGCTCATCCGCTGGCTCTCCTTCACCTTCGCGAAGGCGCCTGGCGAGGCAGGGCGAAGGGTGAGAGGCTGATGGATCTGTGCAACCCTCCGTCCCCCTTCCCCAGCCAGCACTGGTGGGTCCCATTACCCTCTGGGCCAGGGCACCAGCCTGCCCCACAGCCAGAGGTGCAGAGCTGCCCCACGTGAATAAGTGAGGGATCTGCACGCTCCTGGGCTATCATCTCCCTGCGCCCATATCCCCATCCCTCTCCTCCAGGCAGGGGAAGACCAGGAGCCTTTTCCCTCTGGATTCTGCCCTCCCCAGCTCTTCCTCTGCCCCTGAGGGGAGGGACTACTCTTCCCTGAGCAGTCAGCCTCACATTTAGCAGGAGGTTTAGGGGTCTGGGCTGCTGGAGGGGTGCAACTCGAGGCTCAGGGTGCAAAGCTAACGTAGGGACATAGGGAATTGTTATCACAGCCAAGCACTCTGGCCAAGCCCTGCAAATGTTCAACGTCACCCTGTGGATGGGGGTCAGGAACAGCCCTGGGAGACCCCAGAGTGGGAGGCAGCGAATCGGGTGCAGGAAGTGTGTGCAGTGCCAGCTGGAACTCAGCTGGGAAAGCATCTCTCTCTCCCAGAGGTGGCTGATGCTCTGACACCAGATTTTCCCTCTCCTTCCATTTATTTTTACAGCTCGGTTTCGAAAGAATCCTGCCTGGCTCCAGCCCTGCATTCCTCCCCTCTCATTAGCACAGAGGCTGTTTGCCTGAAAACAGGATCTGGCCTGCAGGGCTTTATTTCCCTCTCCCTGCCCCTTGACGGGAGCACAGGACCTGGGGTTACGGTGCTCCAGCCTCGCCAGCCCTGCTCCCAGCGGAGAGGAGGAGGAGGAGGAAGAAGCAAAGGTTGGAGGCCAAATCCTGCCTTCCGCTCTGCCCACGCGGCCTCGCTTCCGGACGGGATCCAGCTCCTCTTCACCCACCGCGGTAAACAACGCGGGAGGGAAAGACGAGGAAGCAGCCAGGGCCGGATCGCATCTTCCCCTTCCCCCTTTCCCTTCCCAGCCTCCCCCGGGGATGTGGAGCGATGCTTGGACACCCCGGGATGTTTGGACACAGACAGCCCTGGCTTCGCCCTGGGAAAAACTCCCTGTCCCCCAAAATCCGGGGACTAAGGCGCGGGTGTCCCCTCCCTACTGCAGGCAGTGGGGCCGGGAGGAGCGTGTGGACTTCAGCCCCACTCCCACACCCGGCTCCCCGGCTGCATCACACCCCGCTGCCTGGGTTCAAAGGGACACCGAGCCCTGCCTGCCCGCCGCAATCCTGCAGAAAGGGCGGAGTGGACACCTCGCACCCTTCTTATCCTTCCTGACCTCCCCGTGGAGGGAGGATGAGGAGGGACACGCAGTAGTGGGTAGGGATGCGATGCAGCCCCTCACTCACAAGGCTCTGGGCAGGACCTTGTGATGGCTTCTGCTCCCGGCCTGGGGGGAGTGATGCCTGCGCTGACCCCCTGACCAGTGCTTTGTGCAGCAGTTGTGGAGTCCACAGCATCACTTGAGGCAAAACCTGATCCTGCACCCAACAGCCCCAGCAGCCTCTCCCAGGCTGGTGTGACAAGGCAGCTGTGCCAGCAGGGACCACACTGTCTCCCTGGGAGCCACAGGTAGTGGTCCCCATCCTCATCCTCATGCTCATCCCCATCACCGCACAGCACAGCGTTTCCTCACTGCAGCCCCATCCCACTCCCACCCATGTGGGGCCATCATGCAGGAGAGGTCATCACCAGAGGAGAAGAAGCCACCCTTACCTTTCTGGAGGTGGATGATGTCTGGGAAGTTGGAGAGGAGCCCTTGGTACAAAGAGAGAGTGTCCAGCATGAGGAACAGGTCGTTCTTGGGCTGCTCAGCGAACATCTCCCCCACGGTCTCGTACGTCTTGCCTGTGTGGGAGATGGCGTTGTTGAGGGCGTCGGAGCTGTAGGGGGGGTCCATGTGGAAAGAGTGGCTGATGGCTTGGAAGGCATTGCCCAGCTTCTGGAACTCCTTCCGGAAGCCCCCCACGTGCTTGCGCACCAGCTCCGAGGCCACGTTGGTCAGCTGCAGGACACTGTCGTCCATCTTCTTGCTGAAGGCCTTGAAGGCATCCACGCGGTCCTCCACATCCTGCAGGTCCTGGTGCTCTGTGGGGATCTGGATGGTGAGGAGGAAGCTGGCACCCACCATCTCATCCTTCTCTGCCCGACGTTTGCCCAGCTTCCACTGCTTCTCGTCGCGGCAGCAGAGGAAGTGCTGGAAGCCCTCGTACTGGGAGAGGACGGGGTGACTGGTCATATGGTCCATCCAGAGGATCAGCCGCCGCTTGCGCTTCTCGATGAAGTCCTCCTCAAAGCGCCCGGTGGCCTGCTTCTCGGGCAGGTGGGGCACCGAGATGACCGTGAACTTGTGCAGGAGGCGGTTGTAGAGCCAGTCAAAGTGCTTGTACCGCCGGTAGACGGGCGAGTTGATGTTGCTGGGGGTCAGCTTGTAGGAGATGTAGCTCTTGATGCCCTTGAACTTGGTTTGCTTGGTTGGGTCCTCCACAGAACAGATGAAGGGGTGGGGGTTCGCCCTCCACTGGGGACCTTTGGAGCCCATCTCGATGGAGTACACCTCGGCGATCTTAGACATGAGGGGCACATCGCCTAGGATGAAGGCTTCCACCCCCGAGCGGACGAAGCAGGAGAAGCGGTTGAGGTTCCTCCCCACCACGCTGCCCCTCTTGGAGGAGCTCATGCTGTCCTGCCTCTCCAGCGCCGGCTTGGGCCGGTACCCAGTGTGCTGGTGGTGGCCATATGCTGCCGGGTACTGCAGGCTGGGCGAAGGGTGCCCGTTGGTGCCCGGCATGCTCCGGGGCTCCTCCACCACCGTACAAGCATCGTCCCAGTCGTCCCAATCATCATCATCGTCATCCTCAAAACTGCCCTGGTAGGAGATGCCAGGGTTGGGGGGGGCTGTGTAGAAGGAGGAGTCGTGCCCGGGGGACCCGGCCGGGCTGCTGGAGTAGTCCGTGTAGTTGGAGCCCGACCGGGAGCGGAGGATTTCGACGTAGGAGGCAGGGAAGAGGCCGGTCTCCCCGCGGCTGTTTTGGCCTTGTAACCACCCATCCAGGGAGTTCTCGCTGAAGATGACGAGCTCCTCGTTCTCCTGGATGCTGATCTCCTCTTTGTTTTCGCTCTGGAAGTTGTAAAGCGCTCTGGCTTTCAACGCCATGGCTGGTACTGGGAGGGGGGGACACGACGTAACGCAGTCCCCGCGGCCAAAAAAAACCCTCCCGGCGATACCGCAAACTCGCTCAGCACCGGGGCCGCCCCGCACTGTGGGAAAAGGCTTGGCTGATTTCTCAGGAAAATAAAAAAAAGATGAAGAAGAAATCCCTTACAAGGCGACGGCAAGGTCCGTATGTCCAAGTGACCCCCCCAATCCCAGCACCCCGGTTAAAAACAACATTCCCCGGTCAAGCGAGCGGCGTTTCCCTCGCTCCTACGGGATAAAAACCCCGGCCGGACCGAGAGCCGGGCTCTGCCATGTCCACGCAGGTTTTATGTCGCTGGGACGCTGATCCCACGGTTTCACTTTCCAGGAGGAAAAGATCCGGCTGCCAGCGAGGAAATAAATCCAAAGCGACTTTTCTTGGGGCTCCTGTGGATAAACCACCCCGATTTCCTCCGTCCAGCGGCTGCCAGCTGGTGGGTGCCGGGAAAGCGCCGGGAACCGACCCCAAACCCAGCCCAACCTCCCGTGATCCCGGCCCGGGGATTTTGCAATTCCTTTCCGGGCCGGCTTTCCGGGGGGTTGGTGGAATTTTTCGTTGTTGTTGTTTTTTGTTGTTGTTGTTTTCTTTTTCCCTGAAATCCGCAAATCTCACGCCGGACGGAGGGAGAGGGCCCCGCGGGCTGGGCAGCACCGGGGCCGGTACCG